TTGCCGACAGCCCCAAACGGCGAGATGGAGATAAAATTGGGGATTGGGGAGACGATGAAGTTGGGGACGCAAATCGAGTTGGAGACGAAAGCGGCAGCGAGTTGGCTTCATGCTCGTTGCACTTGAACGCTTCAACGGCATTCTGATTTGTGGCTGCGGCTGCTGTGCTGTGCGGACTGCGGACTGAGGACTGCGAACCGGGATCCCAAGCCGATCCGATCTGATCCGATCCGGCCCAGGACGTGGCTATAACTCACGTGAGGAGCATCTAACGAGTGCGAGAGATGTGCAAGATGTCCGGACAATGTGTTACTTTCTACTACATTTATGGTAAAAAGGCTACAACTAAGAATCTAGAAGTTAAAAAATAGTTAATATAAATTAGGTTGGCTATGAAATGGTCAATCTTGAATAGTTGAGTTTATATTATATTTTGCATATATTTTGCATAATTTATGCATATGCATTTTATGCAAATATGCAAAAAAAAATGCCATTAATTTAAAACTATATTTTTATTGAAACGAACTTTGGTGTTTTCGGAATTAATCCATCTTTATCCTATAAAAGTATGCAAATAATTTTAGAAACCATATATTTAATAATATATGCGAATAGTATCAATCAAAGTATTATGTTCCAATACTTACAATATTTTCTTGCATACTTTCTAGCGTTTTTGCTTAAATTCAAATAAAATCTTTAAAACACTGAATTCAAATCAAATCTGAAAGAAAACCATTTTTGACTTAAGTCGAGTCCACCTTTATACCCTGTAAGAATATAGGATACTATATTCAAATCCAAGCAGAAAATAAGAAAACAAACATCGGGGGAAAGGTGAAAGTTGGTTCTCCTCAACGGGAAATCCAGTGGTAATCAGTTTGACCCTGCTCCACATCCCTCCCCATGTTCCACGATCCCGGCTAGAATCAAAAGCCCGCCGCCTTTGAGTTTCCAATATGGCGGCGCTGCCGTTTCCGCATCGCCTTGATGCCGCTGAGATGCAGCGCTGATAGACGCGCTTTAAATGCATAAAATTGCCGACTATAAATAACATTTAATGAAACACATTTTTCGATTCCCGATTCTACACGCATCCGCATCCAATTCCCCCAATCCCACATTTGGGCTTTATTTTGTTATTCTGTTTGTTTCGCTCCTATATGGTATACCATATTGTTTTTGGCAAAGGCAAAGGATTGCGGTCGCTGGGAAGAGAAGGCGGAGCGTTTAGCCCGGCATCTTCTATGCTTCTTGAGTTATTATTGTAATTTGGCTGTGGGCAGTCGAGTGGAACGGTTGCAGTTGCAGTTACTCCGAAAGATCCCGACCGAAAGACATAGGGCATAGGATGGAACCCCGCCAGCTCTCTGGCATTTTGTGTTCATTTAAATTTTTCACAGTCTATGAAATATAATAAGTTTGCGACATGTGCGCCGTAATTTTCCCATCCCATAATTAGCCAAACGAACTTTAATTAAAAAATGGGATCTTTCCCGTTTTGGGGAGTGGGAATGGGTTACAATGTCTGCGATAGATCGACAGTTTCAGTTCCGTTCGGAACCACCTACGCAGAACTGAACTGTTGGCCGTTCGAAATGTGTTAAGGGGCTGTCCATATATTACGTAATCACCTAGGGGGGGAGGGGGTCATTGAAATGATTATGTTTGATTACATGGGGAGGGGGGGTCTTGTACAATGATTACGTAATCATTTTATATTAATTTTTTTATTTAAAGAATTTATTTAAAAACTTTTTTCCTTTAATAATATCTACAAACCAGGGACCAAAAATAAGTGTAATTGTAAATTTTTCATACAAAAAAATCACGCATTGTAGTTTACAAATCCGTAATGATTTTTATTTTTTGATTTTTATAATAAAACTCAAAAAATAACTGTTATTTTTTGATTTTTATGAATAACAGTTATTCCCTTGACATTTTTGAAAAAATGAAATAATTAAAAAAAACATGATTCCCGTGTTTTATATAACTTACTAAAAATTTGTTAAAAAAGGCAACCGTGCATATTTTATACCTATATTTTTTTTTAATTTATTTTACCCACAAAATCGCCATAAATCAAGTTTAAGTTTTATTTTTGATCGCGACGAATAACTGTTATTTGCCAACTTTTATTATAAAACTCAAAAAATAACAGTTATTGCTTGAGTTTTACTTTACAAATCAGAAAATAACTGTTAAAGTGTGATTTTTAAAATAAAACTTATAACAGTTACGGACCCTGCTACAAACTTAGATAGGAAAGCAGAGAAAAAATTTTTGTAGTGGCTGGGCGGCGAAAAAAAGAATGTTTAGTGGTTCAATCACACGAAGGACGCGAAGACCTGGAATGGCTTGACGAAGAGTATGTTGGGGATAATATCAGCGTAGACGAACCGAATGTGTCATACCAAACTTTATTTATAAACAATATTAACGATTGGGTTGCATCTCCGTTTGAATCCACAGATTAAAACAAAAAAAATTTTATTCTGGGGATTACGTAATCATTGGGGGGGGTTGTTTATTGAATGATTACGTTTGATCACCAGGGGGGGGAGGGGGTCAAAAATCACCAAAAACGTGATTACGTAATATATGGACAGCCCCTAACGGTAAACCAGCTCGCGTCCATTTTATGCGTTTCGTTTCGCGCGCACATCCCAAAATTCAAATGGGCCGTAACGAAATAATGGCAAACCAACACAACACAACGGAAAAGGAAAGACTATGTTTTTCTCCTTCTTTCCCTCCGGTGGGTGTTCGAGTACAGTGCGTATTAAAAATGTAATACCCACGAAAATTGTGGATTTAAATTATTTTATATACCATACCAAAACTTTAATTTAAATAGAAATTTAGAAATTGGAGTTATACAAAAATCTTCTTGTATTTAATTTTAGACAAATTTTCAAATTGTTTTAAATATTATGTTAATTATTTAGAAAGGAAAAAGATTTTGACGCTTATATTAAAAACTAAATTTGCAAAGAAATGTTAAAAAAAAATGGCATAAAATATATATATTTCAAAACCAATGCTCACAACACTTCTGTGACGCACTGTCTGGAAAATGCAAGGGAAAATTCATAAAGCAGCGGATGTTTTCTTAATTTTTAATGCTTTAGTTTTATTTAAGTGTTTATGGAGAAATAACTAATGAAAAACGCCTTGAATTGCATATTCCGCCGCAGTCGGATATTAATAAACGGGCGGCGTGCATGGGCCTGTGCTTGTGTTAAAGCGCAACATGATTCGCTCGATTTAAAATGCATTTCCATGCCAATGGCAACGCGCCGAGTTGCCGCCCTTTGATTTATAAAACAGGCCGTTTCCTTAGCCGATTCCCCATTTCCCAGTCTCGGCCGCATCCCAGATCTTCGCTCCATGCCGCCGCTGTTTGTTTACTTAATGTCATTGCAATTAAGGGGAAATACTTTTGGGCAAATATCTCATTGCCAGCGACCGTGCATTAAAACAAATAAGCAGTCTCGTTACTTTACAGCCAGTTCTCTTATATTTCCACGCTTTAAATGCTCTTGCGAATGTTCAGTTTACACATCAAGTCTTAGCTATTCTAACACAAAACAACAAGCCAGGTAGTGGGTTGGGGTGTTCCATGTTGACTAGGTAACTGGAGGCAAAGCTCTGAAAATTTAGAAGAAATTGTTAGATGTCAATATTATTTTTGGTATTGTATATAGGAAAGAAAAATTTATATTTTTTAATTTATAGGAACGATTTCAGTAATTAGAGAGTTTGTTGATGTTACTAATTTTTCTTGCAAAATGTTGTATTTTCTTCATATCTAAAACAAATTATTCCCTATCAATTTATGCAAAATGTTTGTATAATTTTGAAGTGCAGAAGGGGCACTAAAACTAGGGTAATTCAAACGGAACGGAAGTTAAAACACTTATGGAATGGTATTTGAATTAAGCTTTTTTAAATATGAAACATAATATACAAAATATTGATACAGTCTCAAATAGTCTTTTTTTTTGTTTAAAGGGAGGATTATTTGGAAAGTATAGTTTCTAAATTAATAAACATTTTTTGTTATCTATTTAAATTTTAACAATGAAAAAAGAACAAAAAGTACTATATTAAATGAAAAATTATATTATTTTTTAAGGTCTTAGGAATGTTGTTCTTAAATGCCAAGAAAACTTTTGTTGTTATAGTGGTTATATTACTAAAATCGCATATGTTTATGGAGATACTAAATTTAGATTTAGATCTTGAAAATTATTAATATGTTACGAATCCAGGGAACTTACACAATCAAAACATTGAAATATAAGGCGACTACACTGAATCACGGATCTTGCGCGGGGTTTGGGGGCTTAGCTTAGGTATCGGAGCTCCGACTCCGAGTTTACTCCTTCTTGGGAACACTCAGCTCGTAGAAGAGCTTGCCCATGCCGCCGATGCCGACGAGGGCGAGGGCCATGGTGAGGCGGTAGAGCACGCTGTCCACGGCGGAGCCCTTGAGGAAGACGGGCTTGCCGTCCTTCTTCTGGAAGTGCTCCTGCACCTTGCGGACCTCGAAGTAACCCTTCTCGATCTGCTCCTTGGGCACGGCGGCAGACCTTCGGCCAGCGGTGGTAGCGAAGCTACGGACAACAGCCTGTGGAGGAGGGCGAAATGTGCGGTTAGTTTTGGGGGCTCCAGGGTACTTACGTAATTGCATGGAGGCAAAACGTTCTACGGAGCTATGGCACTCCCGTTTCCTGTCCAGCAAGGAGTCTGGAGTGCTGTAGTCTCCCCATTTACTCACTCTCGACAGGTTCATCATCTTGCTTGGGTTTATTTTTAAGATTTAGCAAAAAGTGAACAGTTTTCTGGGCGAAAAATATCGGTCTCGAATATGACAGCTACAGCTGGAGGAGCATCGATACTTTATCGATATATCGGTTCGATATCTCCAGCACTTTTTGCCATTCACCCGGAAATATTATTATTTACTCGAATAAACAGAAATTTAAGCAGCGCAGCTGCATATTTAATAATTAATTTATTATTCCATAGCAGTAAAAAAATACAGTCGTTGCCATGGGCTTCCTAACAGTATTGAAAAAGATGCGTCAGAAGGAGAAGGAAATGCGCATATTGCTCCTGTGAGTTCTGCTATATTTTCAAACAAAGATAAGTGATTCATGTTTTTCTTTTAGAGGTCTGGATAATGCCGGAAAAACCACGATCCTGAAGCGTTTCAATGGCGAACCCATTGACACCATCTCGCCCACGCTGGGTTTCAACATAAAAACCCTGGAGCACAATGGCTACACCCTGAATATGTGGGATGTGGGTGGCCAGAAGTCCCTGCGATCCTATTGGAGGAACTATTTCGAGTGCACCGATGGCCTGGTTTGGGTGGTGGACAGTGCCGACAGGATGCGCCTGGAGTCCTGCGGTCAGGAGCTGCAGATCCTGCTCCAGGAAGAGCGCCTGGCCGGAGCCACACTGCTGGTTTTGTGCAACAAACAGGATCTGCCTGGCGCCCTCTCCTCAAATGAAATTAAAGAGGTATGCATTCAAAACCTATCAGATTTAACAAAGTTTTTAATATCAATCATCCTTAAAGATACTACACCTGGAGGAGATCACCACGCATCATTGGCTGGTGGCCGGAGTTAGTGCGGTGACCGGCGAGAAGCTGCTGAGCTCCATGGACTGGTTGATAGACGACATAGCCAAGCGCATATTCACTTTGGATTAAATAAAACTCGCCTTGCTTCCTCACTTCTCCAGCAAGTACATTTTGTATAGCTTCTCCTGCTTTTCGTCGGCAAACTCTGGCTTAAAGTTCACCTTGTGAATGGATTTGAATCCTTCATCTAGAGAGGGCTCCTGGTATTTCTTCTTCATCATGTTGAAGACCATGTCCTTGATCTTGGAGTGCGTAGAGTCTGATAACTCCCGGAAGGCTATGTTGTGCTTGACTTGAGCCACTGGCACATTCATCACAAGACAGCGACAGGGAATCTTCATTTCGCTGGCCAGCTGCAGGAATTTTTTGCGAGAAGCCGCATCCACATTCGTGTTGTCCACCACACAGGATTGTCCGGAGTCCAGGAAACGTTTGCAGGCAGTCAGGCAGCTTTGAGTGCTCCCCAAGGTGTCTGCATTGGCCATCTTGTAGCCACGCGATTTCAAGAAGGCGGCACAAAAGTGGCTCTTTCCCGAACCCGGCAAGCCAACCATGATTATCATTTCACAGGGGTGGTCCTCGAAGGTCACATCGTCTGGATCGAAGAGAGGTACTTCATTCTGAACGCTAGTGGGATCAAAGTCCGGCTTGTTCCACTGCTCCACTCGTTTGCCCAGGAAATGAACCTCTGGCGTGTAGAAAGACAGACCAATGTTGGCGGCAAAGAGCCTGTCTGCAAGCGAATGATCCTTGCGCTGCTTGGTGACTCCCTTGCCCGTCTCCGGTCGTCCAGCTGCATCGCCCACGAAGAAAGAGCGATCTTCCTGGATCTCAACGGCCTCGTTCATTTCGCTCTTCAGGTGCTGCCACATTCCAGTCAGTGGTTTCCGGTAGAATCCATCGCCTATGGCTATGAACACTTGGATGGGAACTCCTATCTTAGCCACAATTTGCTTGACCTTGACCTTAAAATCATCTAGGCTGACTTTGCCGCGAGCAATTCCTCCCTGGTTGGTAAAGAAACAGATCTTGAAGCCATCCTTGTGGAGATTCTTCAGCTTCTCCGGGACTTCGGGGAATATAATCTGCCAGTCGTCGGTGTTTTTGGGGAAAACCAGTCCCGATTTCGTTTTAATGATGGTGCCATCCATATCGTAGCCAGCTATCTTTTCGGAGGCTCTCACGCCGGCGCTGGTGAAGATTACCAGTTTGCCGCTGCCAGCCGAGTCCCATCTCTCGGATTTCTCTGGAATGGATGACGATATGGGCGAGGGAGTGGCTTCCTGCTTATCATCCGTTGGTGGAGGACTGAAAACCACCTCGAAAGGATGCCTGCCGTAGACGATCTCCACCAGATCTCCGTGCTTAAGCTCACATTCCGAGTCCTGCATCACCATCAGACCATTGACGCCGCAGGGATTCACCCCCAGGACCTTGAGGACCACCACAGCCTTCTTCATATCAACTTGCAGTTGGATTTGCCGCTTTGAGCACTTGGAGTCCCTGATTCCGCTTTCCCGACTGCGTCCCACGAAGTTCTCACCGGCGACCAGGTGAATGGCATGGTGCTCCGGTTCTGTGGGCTTCAGGGTGCAGATCCTCGAGGCCACTTCCTTGCCAGCTTTTCCCACCGAGCGGTTTAGATATTTAGCCATGGACATCTTGTAGTTTTCGAATTGAAAAGCATTGTTTGATTTTGGCCAATTTATGGAATTTTGCGCGTTTTAGTGTGACCTTATGGGCGTTTATAATATTTGCAATTTGTCATTCTCACAGAATACATCATTACTATATTACTTAAAAATTCAAAATGTAAGCATCTGTACATTTAACATTTAATTCACAATTAAACAATTTCACGGAGACACAAACTTCCCTATCCCTATATTTCATTGATATTTTATAACCAATATCCGAGACTAATTTATTCTTGTAATCTTTTAGAGGTATTTCTTTAGAGATCTGGATAATGCCGGCAAGAACCCATCCCATAAATATGATATCTTTGGATTAAATACAACTTTCCTGACTTCCCAATTCCTCCAACAAGTACATTTTGTAAAGCCTTTCCAGCTTTTCATCGGCGAACGCAGGCCTAAAGTTCACCTTATGTATGGACAGGAATCCCTCTTCTACGACTGGCTCCTGGTACTTGTATTCCATTATTTCAAAGACCGAGTTCCTGACCCTGGAGATCCCGGAGTCTGTTAACTCTCGGAATGCCAGGTTGTGCCTCACCTGGGCCAAAGGAACATTCATCACAAGACAGCGACAGGGAACCTTCATTTCGCTGGCCACCTGCAGGAACTTCTGGCGGGATGCCACATCTATATTGGTGTTGTCCACCACACAGGATTGACCTAAGCGCAGAAAACCTTTACAGGCAACTGGCCAGCTTCGAGTGCTTCCCAAGGTTTCTGCATTGATGATCTTGTAGCCCAGCGATTGGAGAAAGGTGGCACAAAAGTGGCTCTTTCCTGAACCCGGCAGACCCACCATGATGACCATTTCGCAGGGGTGATCCTTGAACGTCAGATCATCTGGCTCGAAGAGAGTCACCTGATCCTGGAGGCTAGTGGGATCAAAGTCCGGCTTAATCCACTCCTCCACTTGTTGGCCCAGGAAATGAACCTCTGGAGTGTAGAAAGTGAGTCCAATGTTGGCGGCAAAGAGTCTATCTGCAAGGGAGTGATCCTCGCGTCGCTTGGTGACTTCTCCGTCTTTTTCCGGTCTTCCAGCTGCATCGCCCACGAAGAAACAGCGGTCTTCCTGAATCTCTATACCCTGATTCATTTCACTCTTCAAGTGCTGCCACATTCCAGTTAGTGGTTTCCGATAGAACCCATCGCCTATGGCTATGAATACTTGGATGGGAACCCCTAGTTCAGTCACGATTTGCTTGATCTTGACCTTAAAATCATCTAGTTCTATTTCCCCGCGAGCTATCCCGCGTTGATTGGTAAAGAAGCAAATCTTAAACCCATTATTATGGAGACTTTTAAGTTTCTCCGGGACCTCGGGGAATATGATCTGCCAGTCATAGATATCTTCGGGGAAATCCCATCCAGATTTCGTTTTAATGATGGTGCCATCCATATCGTAGCCGGCTATCTTTTCGGAGGCTGTCACCCCGGCGCTGGTGAAGATTGCCAGTTTGCCATTGCCTGCAGAGTCCCATCTATCAGAATATTCTGGAACCGCTGATGACGTGAGTAAGGAAGTGGGTTTCTCCCTATTATTATCATCCGTTGGTTGTTGACTGAACACCACCTCGAAAGGATGTCTGATGTGCAGAGACTCGTCCAGATCCTCTCCAGGTTTTCCTGTGGAGGTTTTCAGGTACTTAGCAGCGGACATCTTCTTGTTTTTCAATTTAAAGTCATTGCGTTCTTGATTTCAGCGAACTTATGCAAATTATCGGTTTACTTGTGCTTCCTAATTTTTGGAAGAAAACTACCATTCTCAGGGAATGGATACCGCTGTGAATGAAAGTGGCGGTTTTTAAAAAATGTAACTGTTTAATATTTAAAAAAGGATAGTGAACTATTTCCTTCTTTTAAGATCTGAAAACTGAAATATAACACAGAAGGCGGGCTATAAATCAGTAAACCATACTATATCTTTCTATAGCCCTTTTTTTAAGGAATACAAAATTTTATTCAAAATAGTCACAAAGAAAATGCAAAGAAACTGCCTTGCATTGCGCGTAAGTACCAAGTATTTTAACAAGTAACAATTTAAAATTAAATATTTTTAATAGCCCCTCCTTCGGGGAGCCGGTGAATTGGGCGCATTTGGTACATCTATCCGTTTATTTCGCAACTCGGCTGCTTTAAATTACGCTGCTGCTGCTCCGAAGCAATGTACTGGAAAACTTCCTCCGAAAATGGCCAAGTTGCGTAAGCAATTCCAGGCGGACAACGATTTGCCCGTTTTTCTCAAAGGCGGCAGTATGGACAACATATTGTACAGACTAACCTGGGTGCTGAGTATCCTCGGAATAGCTGGGGATGTGTGGCTGTGGGTTGGCTTCATGATAGCCTAAAACAAGGAAGTTCTCGTAGAAAAGATGAAATAATTAAAAGTACCCTTAAATTCTAGTGCAACCTATTAACACCTTATGTCCATTTCATAACCACTTTATATAACACTATTGTTTAACTATGTGAACTTGCATCGTTTCTGTACATGGGATGTGTAATACGGCAAATCAATAAAATATATTCAAAAAATACCAACCATTTAAATAATATTTTATCTATTTTTTAAGAGGTAATCCATAAAAAGGATAATTCCAAATTCAAATTATGCCGCCATTTTTGCCATTCGCATGTCGGACAAAAATGTGTCCAAAATTAGGTTATTTTTTAAATTTGAATTTTTATGCTGGTAAAAACAGCTGGTAATACTACTTGCACAACTTGCAATTTTTTGTCGGCATTTTTCTACTGCATTTTTCTCACTTTTAAAAGGTAAGTAAGCACGAAATAATATTTTAACTATGTTTACCCGATAAAACACGATTGCCTGACGGGTTTTTGTTTGTTCTGCGACTGACTAACCACGTAGTTTTCCAAACATCCACATTTTTCGGTGTGATCCGAAAGCTCTTCACGTTTTCGGGCTCCATTTTAGCCACAGTTTTTGTTTTTCTATATTCTTCTGGCAAAAAACCCCGCTTAACTGCCACATCTGCAGATTTGTGGACTGGCCAGAGATTAAATTGCATCGATCATCAAGTTTCCATTGTGTTCCCCAAACTGTTTGGCCTCTCTTCCAAATTAAAGTAGCCTTTTCGCATTTTTCCAGTTGAGCGACAAGTAATGTAAGGGTCTTCATAAGAAAAGTTTCGAAAATCCTCAGTAATGTTTTGGCTGAAAGGGCTACAGAGATCCCGGCAGCAACTGAACAGGCTCTGCCAGTTCCGTAGTCGTCCAAATTACGGGAGCAGTATTCCCAGTATTCGCTCAGTTCAACCGCCCATCTGCGTCGCCAGAAGCTCGGGATTTTGTAGCTCCCTCGTTCGTTACAGGTATTTCAAGGGCTTCATCTTATAACCAGCTATCTAATCCATTTGGTGGTATCTTGTTATCTTTCCAGCTGCAGCGCCAATCTTCCCCAGCCCGCTGAGATGGCCAGTAAGACCGCCCACTTCGTCCTGCCCAACACGCAGCCCATCGCCGATCTGGACTGCAAGAGTGCCTTCGAGAATCTCACCGAGAAGGAGAAGCTCTATGCCCACCACTTCAGCCAGGCCTCCTGGGACGGCGGCCTTATCGCCCTCATCCAGTCCAGTCCGGAGGCGCCGCTCATCTTCTCCGTGCTGCACCGCATTTTCCTCGCCGAGAAGATCCCCGAGCTGAGGGCCAGTGCCCTCAAAGCGGGAGTGTCTGAGGATGAATTTACGGTAGGGTCTTTTACAATTCCTAAAGCGTTCTTATCGTTTTCTGATCTACTGATAGTATGATCCATTTTCTGGATTCGTAGAAGTTCGTTTTGTTTAATACATTTTATTAAGTAGCTTATTAATGATCTGACCAATTTATAAAAACGTTTTTTTACAATTTTATTTTCGAATTTCGGTTTTATTTTGCTGCCTGTTGATCTTTTCTAGGGACCCTATTTTATAGAGATATAAATATAAAACCTATTATAGCCCTGCGTGAATTGATTCAATGAATTTTTTTTGTTTTATATGATTAAATTAATTGGAATTTTGAGTTTAATCGAATGAATGAATGAATGGCATGAATTCCGAAATAGTTCAAACGACAATTTCTTTTGAAGAAGAAAGGGCCATAATTTTCTGGTTTAATCTGCCTGAATTTTATTCACTATGCAGTTAACATTGATTTGTTAAAAATTTTCCACTTTTTGTTCTTAAAAGAAAGCACAAAAAAACTGGCAAATTCCAAAAATAAACATAATTTATTCCTTCAATTTGAAATAAATTAGAAAAACTTTCTAAAATAAATTGAGAAATAATCACATAGAATTGAATTAAACAAATCAGAAATTTTAGATACTATAGTATCAGTATATGATCCATTTTCGGGATTCGTAGCAGTTCGTTTTATCTAATACATTTTGTTAGATAGTTTATTAATGATTGGATTAATTTATAAAAACGATTTTTTACAATATTATTTCTGAATTTCAGTTTTTTTTTTAAGGTTCTATGTCCATCCTTTTTTTGCTGCCTGTTTTATAGTTTTATAGTGATAAATATTGAAAGATACCTACCAAATCAAATACAAAATAATACTTATGGCTTTCCTTACCTAATTTTCAGGGCTTCCTGGTCTACGCCTGCGGCGTGTTCGCCAATGCCGGCAACTACAAGGGCATGGGCGACAGCAAGATCGTGCCCAACCTGGCCGAGCAGCAGTTCGAGGCCATTGTGAAGGCCTCGGCGGCCTACAGGGATGAGCCGCGCGTGGGCAAGATCTTCGAGAAGGTCAAGGGCCTGATCTATGCGCTCGAGTCGCGCAACGAGATCCTTGGCTTTGCCCCCGACGGAATCACCACCTACTGGTCGGACAACTGCACCAAGGAGGACTCGGAGATCGTAAACTCCTGGCTCACCTCCAAACGCATCGAGCCCTACATGTGCCGCACCTTCAAGGTGGTCGAAAACGGGCAAACCATCTACGACGTGAAGCTCGGTTCCGTGGCGGAGTCGCCGCAGGAGGGGATCACGCTGCCGCTGGAGGAGTACAAGGGCCACCAGTTCCGGGTGACGCGCGGCGACTACCAGAAGCTGCTGCAGCGCGTCAACCAGCATCTCCTGGAGGCAAAGAAATATGCGGCAAATGAGAACGAGTCCAAGATGATCGAGCACTATGTGCGATCCTTTGAGGAGGGCTCGCTGGCCGAGCACAAGAACGGATCGCGTTGGTGGATCAAGGACAAGGGACCGGTGATCGAGACCTACATCGGTTTCATTGAAACCTACAGGGATCCCGCCGGTGGTCGCGCTGAATTCGAAGGATTCGTGGCCATGGTGAACAAGGAGAGCTCGGCCAAGTTCTCGGAGCTGGTTAATCGCGCCGAGAAGCTAATTGAGTACCTGCCCTGGACGGAACCGTACGAGAAGGACTCGTACTTGAAGCCGGACTTCACATCTTTGGATGTACTGACCTTTGCAGGCAGCGGAGTGCCGGCGGGCATCAATATTCCCAACTACGACGAGATCCGCCAGGACGAGGGCTTCAAGAACGTCTCGCTGGGCAATGTGCTGGCCAATATCAATCGGAAAGACCCCATTCCCTTCCTCTCGGATGAAGATCAATCGCTGATGAAGGAGTTCAAGGTGAAGGCTTTTGAGGTGCAGGTGGGGCTCCATGAACTTCTGGGCCACGGCAGTGGCAAGCTGTTCCGCATCGACGAGAAGGGAGTTTATAACTTCGACAAGGAGAATACGAAGAACCTAATCACCGGCGAGCCCATCGCCAAGTGGTATCTGCCTGGGGAAACCTACGACACCAAATTCGGAGCCATTGGCTCCTCGTACGAGGAGTGCCGCGCCGAGGCCGTCGGCTTGTATCTCTCCCTGCAGCGCGACATCCTGGAGATCTTCGGGTTCAAGGACAAGGCCGAGCAGGACAACATCATCTACGTCAACTGGCTGAGTCTCATCTGGAACGGCATGGGCGTGGCCCTGGAGATGTTCAATCCCAAGTCGAAGCTCTGGCTGCAGGCGCATTCGCGTGCCCGCTTCGTGATCATGAAGGTGCTGCTGGAGGCGGGCGAGGGACTCGTCAAGGTGGAGGAAACGGAGGGCGGCAAGAACCTTCTGCTGACCGTGGATCGCAGCAAGATCGATACTGTGGGCAGGAAGGCTCTGGGGGATTTCCTCACCAAGCTGCAGGTCTACAAATCGACGGCCGACATCGAGGCTGCGTCCAAGATGTACGAACACTACTCGGAGGTCAGCGAGAGCGGCTCGCATCCGTGGGCCAAGTGGCGGGACATCTGCCTGGCGCACAAGAAGCCGCGCATGATCCTCGTCCAGGCGAATACGCTGATCGGAAAGGACGAGAAGGTGCAGCTGAGGACCTACGAACCCAGCCACGAGGGCTACATCCAGTCGTGGGTGGAGCGCTATCCCAACACAGAGATCGACGACCTGCTGGAGAGCATCGTGGAGCAGGACAAGAAGTACTTCCCGACTGCCTTCAGCAACTGAGATCGTTTCGCATTTAACAGTTTTGCTTTTATTTTGAACACTATTAGCTATGATTTTGAGAAATATTATAGTGGTCATTAAATGACTGAGATACAATTATAGTTTTACTTATAGGGTTTCTAATAAGGTGTATTTTTGAAGGATCGTTAACATTTGAAATATTCTTTCGCAGTGAATGGTTATTTATATGGTTCGAAAAAGCCATTCACAGAAAACATTGACAGGAATATGTCTCAAAATATAATATTCGGAATTATAATATTACAAGAGTCTCCAATTAATTTGTATGCTATGATTTTGAGAAATATTGTAGTGGTCATCTAATGACCAAGAAACAATTTAAATATTATTAGTACTTATTTTATTTATGTGGTTTTTAAAAATGTGTATGTTTAAAGGATCGTTAACATTTGAAATACTTTTTCGTAGTGAATGGTAGTTTATACGGATCGAAATTGCCATTCGCAGAAAACCTTGACAAGGATCTGTCTCAAAATATTTTTAATCGGGATTGTAATATTACAAGAGTTCCCTGTTAATTTGTATTTAATGAACTAAAGACAGAAAGACCACCATTGACCAAGATATAGTTTTAATTTTTATTATGTGGTTTCTAAAAGAGGTATATTTTTAAAGGATCGTTAACGTTTGAAATACTTGTTCGTAGTGAATGGTAATATGGATCGAAATTGTCATTCGCAGAAAACATTGACAGGGATCTGTCTCAAAATATTTATAATATTCGGGATTATAATTATAATTTAATCCCCCATTAATGTGTATGCTATGGTTTTGAGAAATATTATAGTGGTCATCTAATGACCAAGATAAAGTTTTAATTTGTATATGTGGTTTCTAAAAACGTGTATTTTTAAAGGATCGTTCACTTTTCAAATACTTGTTCGTAGTGAATGGTTACTTATATGAACCGAAATTGCCATTCGCAGAAATAATTGACAAGGATCTGTTTCAAAATATTAAAAAATTCGGGACTATAATTATACATTAGTCCCCAATTAATTTGTATTTAATGAGCTAAAGACAGAAGATATAATACCACCATGGAGATTGTAAATATTAATCCTTGAATTTTAATTTTTCCACAGTAGCCCTTGAAAACCATTGTGATGTTTATTTTATTTTATTTCTTGATTCCATTCGGTTTCTTGTATTTCTGTTTGGACCGTCGTAATCATGGCAACCGCTAGAAATCGTAGTGGCAACCAGAAGGACTCTGGAATTTTCCACATCGGCGAGCCGCAGTTCAAGGTGCCGCAATCCCTTCGCATGGAACGCGACTTCTACAGCTCCCGGCTGTTCCAGCAGATGCAGCACGACCTGGAGAAGGTGAACCGCAGTCAGGAGCTGTCCAAGGAGAACCCCATGACGCGGGACTTCGTCGAGAAGGCAGCGATGACGCAGGAAATGCAGGCGATTAAGCACGCGGAGTTTGTGGAGAAGAAGCGTCGCCAGCAATTGCGGCGGGATTGCGAGGAGCTGAGGGATTTGGCGGAGCAGCTGCGTCTGGCAGCCATTTCCAAGGAGCTGGCCGAGAGTCTGGAGGAGCGGAAGCGCCAGCGACAAATGACCGTGCGAGTGGAGGCCCAGGAAGTGGCCGACGAGCGGTGCCTAATGGATGAAAAGGAACGCGAAAAGGAGGCCGCTCTCAAGGAGGAACAGCGCCGCCTGAGGGATTCCCTGGCTGGGCAAATGGAGGAGAACCGGCGGCGGCGGCAGCAGGAGCACGCCCAGGTGATGAACGACCGGGAGCTCAGCCTGCTGAGGCAGAAGCAAATCCAGGAGGAGGATCGCGCCCAGCAGCTGGAGGCGGAGCGCAAGAAGCTGCAGAAGCGACAGGACATGCTGCAGTCCATCAAGGAGAACCAGGAGCACCGGGAGTGGCAGCGGGCCCAGAACAACTACGAGCTGGGTGATCTCGCCCAGACGCAGAGCGAAATGGATCGCAGAAAACTGCAGCTGGAGGAGGAGCGGCAGGAGGTGCAGCGCAAGAAGCAGGAGATCAGCATACGCCTGGGTCAGCAGGTCCTCGAGATGGAGGTGAGTCTTTAAGCTTCTCTCAGCCAATTATTACTAAACCCCTGTCTTATTACAGACCAAAAAACGTCATCGGGACAACCTGCTGCTGGATCTGCTGGAGGCGGAGTACACGGCCAAGAGTGACGAGCGCTTCCGCCAGCAGATGCAGCAGGAGCAGGTGTCGCGGCGGCGCACCAGGCAGGAGTTGGATCGCTATCGCCAGGAGGTGGAGCAGCGCAAGATGGCCCAGCTGCAGCTGAAGCGCGCGGAGATGGCCGCGCGGCAGGAGGAGGCGCCGGATGTGAGCAGCCAGGAGGCGGAGAAGCAGCTGGAGGACTACCGCAGGCGCAGGGCCCACGGAGCCACCTTGCTGGCCATGATCGAGGATAATCAGCGCAAGCGGGCGGAGGCCACCGCCGAGAATGTGCAGTACTTCGACGCGAAGGCCAGGACCGAGGCCGAGCAGCAGGAGCGCATCAAGCAGGAGCGTCTGACCATGTTGGGCCAGGTGCCAGCCTCCGTGCTGCGGTATTTGCCCAAACATCTCCTCACTGCGACGGATCGCGAGCACTTCTGTCACGAAAATCTGCAGGCATTGGGCGGTGGTGATTCCTAATTTGCTTTTAGATAGATAGACAATTCCAAGAAGGTCATGTTTATTTTTAATGCGCACTACTTTGGCCTCCCGAAATATACAATTTCAAATTTAGCGCCACTTTGCGTACGTGACGTGTATCATTTAGGCATCCCAGGGCTACCAACAAGGTTATCGAATATTCGATATGTTCAGCTATCGTTACCTTGCCAAATATCGGTATTTATAAATTAACCATTCAGGGTATTCCTTAAGTGAAAATTCAACAGAAAATTTTAGCAATTCAGAAAGCGATTATAAATGGTTCCAGTTGATTTTTTAGACCGCCGTGATTAGGTGTAACATTTTTTCTAACTAAAAACAAGTAAAATGTTACTCTTCATTCTTAGTATTGTACTATAAATTTTAATACAGTAAGGATTCCCCTTAATATTTTTTTCAGCCTGACCATTTGCGGCATTTTAGACCGCGGTGTTATTTAGGACATTCCACGCAGCCACACTAAAATGCTGACGCCTGAATTTTACTTTAATGAACGAAAATAGTGGGAGTGATCTTGCGTACAAACAATAACACGGAATCGAGTTAAAAGGGCGTTGCACAAATGACAGTGTTTTGGCAAAATGCCCGGGCAAGTTTTGACTACGTTTAGCAGTGCCTAGAAGGCCAAGTGCGCGACGCCAAAACAACTAAAACCGCGACCAAACACAACGCGGAAATAGAAAAGTGAGAAAAAAAACCCAAGCGCAGACAGCGAACTTTGGACACAGACAATTGCAAACACAAAGAAAAACGGAGAAAATGTCGGCGCAGCGTCTGAATGCAGCGGAGCGGGATCTGGAGAAGTTCATCAAGTTCCTCGTTTTGAAGTCCACCCAGGTGGTGGTGCAGTCCCGGCTGGGCGAGAAGATGCAGACGCAGTGCAATCCACTGGCGGGCAGCGATTGGTTCAACATTGCCGTCCAGGATCATCCGGAGGTCCTGGAGGAGACCAAGCGGGCCCTCAATCTCAAGACTGGCGAGAGCATCCTGCAGCGCCTGCCGCTCTGCGTGGAGATCTCGCTGAAGACCGCCGAGGGCGACCAGATGGTACTGGAGGTGTGGTCTTTGGACCTCATTCCGCCCCAGAATGGCTCCTCCCCGCCCGACCCCGAGGGTCACCAGACCCTCAAGGCCGCCCACGCCATCTACAATCGCATGGGCATCATGCTCAAGTCCCTCATCTCCCTCACCCGCACCACGCCCGCCTACAAGCTCTCCCGCCGCCAGTGTCCCGACTCCTATGGCATCTTCTACAGGATCTACGTGGACAGGCCGCAGGTCCATACCCTCGGCGAGGGCCACAAGCACGTGAAGATCGGCCAGCTGAGCACCATTGTGGGCTCGCTGGTCATGTCCGTGGCCTACCGCACCAAGCTCACCATCTCGCCCACGGCTGCCCAGGCGGAGAGCAACACCATTATGCTGAAATCGGATCACTTTAGGCCCGCCACGGATAGCAGTTCGCCGGGCCAACAGCAGCAGCTGCAAAACGGCACTGCCGTAACCAAGAAACTGGGCCTGGGTGGCCTCAATCTCAACCAGGGCTCGGCCGATCGACGCTTCATCGACATCGAGAAGCCTCTGCGGCCGGGAGCCTTCACCGATATGGGCAAACTGAAGCAGTACACCGAGGATGACTTTGTGCTGCCCGAAACGCCGCCCTTCGAGTGGCTCTTGCGCGGACGCGGCTCTGTGGAGTCCCTCAACCGCCTGGACAACAACACAGCCGCCCCCAGTGTGCTCAGCAGCAATAACAACAACAATCCGCAGGACAGTAAACTACACGCGATCAGTAATCTCAACAATAACTCTGCGGGTTTCAAGAGTTTCGAGAAGAACTCTGTGTCGCCCATCAAGAGCCTGCTGATTCCCGCCAGCGCCACGCCGACGTATCGCCACCACTCGGAACCGCAGCTACAACAACCGCCGCCCGATGATGATAATCTGCTCAAGGAGCTGCACTTTCCCTTCGCCTCGCCCACGTCGCATGTCAACGATCTGGCCAAGTTCTACAGGGAATGCTATCATGCGCCGCCGCTCAAGGGTCTCAACGAACTGCAGGCGGAGATCTCGTCGCTCTCCTCGACCCCGCCCGCATCCAGTGTAGCCTGTGGGCCAACGGCAGCTTCCGCTGCGATCGCCACCAGTGCCGCCGATGCCAGCGCCATGGACGATCTGTCCCGGCAGCTGGAGCAGTTCGAGACCTCGCTGGAGGACTACGACAAGCTGGTCTCGCAGTTCGGACTCACGGGCTCCTCGTCGACGGGCAGCCGCAGCAGCGGTGGCCTCCAGATGAGCAACTAGACGTGTCATTAGTTAGTCCTTATTTATAAAGGGGCGGAGCAGCAAGGTTAAACTGAAAAATCAAGGAATATTTAAGGAATACTGCTGGGGAAAGTAAAGGTCTAAGGTTAAATTTAACTTGCAAGTGCTTAAAGTAGGTCAGAAAAATAGACCATGATAAGGTAAATACTTTTTATTAAGTATTTTGATCTAAGAATTAGGGTAAAGCAGTCATTTTTCTAGCACACCCTATTTTCTTATCACCTAGAAATATTGTATAATAATCAGTAAGTTTTTCATATAACTTTGCTAGATAAATTCTGATTTTAGACCTTTAGTTTCCCTTGAGCTCTTGCCTAAAATGGTCCAAAGATTGTCAACTAAAAATTATAACGCCCCACTATTTATATATGCCATTGTGTTAAGTTGAGTTGATAGGCTGCTATTTGATATTACCCGCTTTGTAAATACTATACATATAGGCTTTGTAGGCTCTAGGTCCGTCTAAGTTGTAAAATGTACATAGGAGTAGAGAGCTCATGTCACGTTTCAAAGTTTCCAATGCAGCAGTTTAGACCCTAGACACAAATACATAAATATGATCCACATGCATATGCATATAGACGGCTATATAGCTTGTGCATATGGTAGTAAGTTGGGCGTACTCGTCGCTTGTTTGTTTGTTTGTTTCTTTGTTCAAGTGCCTTTCGCCTGCTTGTAAGTGAAAAAATCGTATATGTACATAAATAACTATAGATAACACCAATTAATCAGAAAGCTAAAAGGTTTTTTATTTCGTTGCGAGTGAGCCAAAAAGGCAGATGTTCGATCTATGCAAATGCATAACCACTAATCGAAAAAGCGAAACTAATCGAAAGACTTGAAGAATAACGAAATATATCTATCCTAACTTAGTTATCTTTAATCGTTGGTCGCTGTTGCTAATTTATTGGTTTTGAAATTGCTAAATTCGCCTACATATGAGAATCGAAATTCGAGTATACATTAAAAATACACTACATAATAGAATAATAAGAAAATTTATACATATAAACAATGAATAAAAGCAATTGTTAATCAAGACACTAATCAAAATGTTTACTTCTGTCTAAGGAGGCGTGTCACTTGTTGATTGTGCATATATGTAGTATGGTGTATGCCCTATAGTTACCCTTGCCAATGGATGTTGGATCGTTCTTTATATCTCCCTAAAGGCCGAGGTCATGTGACTAACCCATTAGAGATTCGAGATAAACAGAGTTTATTAAACACTCCCCCAAAGGGTTTTTCCACCGCCTTAAACTGGTTATCGTTTGTTTTCATTTTGCATACTTACTTTATCATATTCTATCACTCAATCGGGTTCAGGTATTGTATAATGTACGTCAGAGTCGAGAGTGTTGCGCTACACCTGACTAGCTGACTAACTGGCTACCTGGCGGTTTGTTGTGGTCGTTATCAATTAACATGCGATTAGTATTCTCGATCTCCCCACAGCTGGCCACTCTCCCAGATGACTATATAGTATAGATCTTTGAGCTAATCTCTGATACTATTTGCGCACTCCATGAAGATTGCAATTTTTCGCATTTCAGCCGCCATTCCGTTGCGAATTAACGTCACTATGGCAACGGCAACGACATCGTAGAGGCTAAATAGTTTTATTTTTAACTAAGCACATATGTTTTTTGTTGTTTCGCCGATCCACAAGTTATCTGCTGTTTTGCTTTGTGCCCGATTCTTTCTTTCGAGTGCTAATGACATTGTCATAGTGCAAAACAAATGGACAGCTGTACACGCTTTCGGTTGCCTTCACGTGAGTGGGTGGGCTAAGGAGTTCGGATGGGGTGGCTACGTGGGGCTCCCGAACCCCTGCGGTTGATAACTAAAAATACACAAACATACCTGTTCTCGAATGGTCATCAGTCAAATAAACAAGTTATGTAAAGTTATTTTAGTCGAGTGACGCTTGTAAAATATCCAACTTCTATTATAATATGGGTTTTCCAGAACTGTTAGAAACTGTCTTAATTTCAAACTTGTTTTTGTAAGTAAGCCCTTGATCATATTTTTTTTCAACAGTTTTTTTAAATTTTAAAAATATGTAGATAAAGTGTTAAAATCTATTAAACTTATTATATCATTTTTTAGAACATTGTGTAAGCTCACATAAACAAGCTTAACAGCTGTAATATTTCGTCAAATTCTAGAAATTTGTAGTATTTTAGGATTATTACATCTGCTTAGCAACAGTGCCAAATATTCTTGACCAAATTTTCGAAATATTCAAATTCTTTTTGAGTTGGCGTTTGATAGCGAAAATTAAAATAATATCAAAAAGCTTTCAGTTTTTAGGATACCCTTAGATTGTGGTAAATCTAATTTCATGTGTAGCTGCTTCCAAATATAGAACCCAGACGGCGGAAGAGTCTAGACTGTAGACTGTGGGCTATTCTCGGTAATGAACTTTGTAATAGGTCCGAAAGATAAAACTTAACGATCGCACCTTGGCGACAACAGGTCGCCGGCACTGCATTTGTGTGGGGACTTGGGGATATGGGGACCCCACTCGAATATATGTACATTTGCACACAGATTTTGTGTTGGCTTTCGGTTTTAATTGTCCAACATTTTCGCCGTCTGCCTTTGTTTGAAGTTCGCTGTTGCCAAGCGCCAAATTGGTGACGCGTTGCCAACAATTGAATGTATTTATTTGCCTTTTGGCTTCGGCCTGCATATGAAATGCAAGCTTTGGCAGGCGGGAAAATTGCTTTCGAACGTCTCGTTTTTTACGTTTTTTTTTACCCTGCCGGTGCCAACGCTCCAAATTCGCTGCCCACGGGAACCGGATTGCACTCTCTCCCCCGGTTTTTCCCCCGTTTTCCGGCGCCCACGCACATCAAATTGAATTATTTACAGTCTGGCCTCGGAAAAACCATGTTCTAAAAGAAAAATCATGATTAAAAGAACCTTTTAGTTGTCTAACCGTTGAATTGACTAACCTACTGTTGATTCAAGGCATTTAAACGCAGTATCCTTGAAAAACATTAAAAAAAAAATTCAAAATAAAAAAAATATTCCTATTTGTTTGTTATTCGTTTGAAATATATGAGCCATTTCAACTAAAATAAAAAATAGATTTTTCTAACAGAGTGTGTTTTAATGCACTACATTAAAGTTAAAGTTATAAAAAGTGTTTTCGATAAGTGTTTTGGGTTATGGAGGTCAGACTGTGTCTTCTTGGGGCAGCGGAATTTTTTGATTGTATTCACGTGCCGAGGTAAACCGTTTCAGTTCAAGTAAAATCCCCCGCAAGGTGGATTTCTGTTTCTGTTTCGAAATTTCTTGATAAGCTCGCTCGAGCAATAACGATAAACAACAAATGGCGATAAGACAGGGCCTAAATGCAATGCGGACGCGGTCAGCACTATAATTTTTATGCAATGCGACCGCATATTTGGAATTTTTGTATGCCAAGCGAGCCAAGCTCGACGCCCAGAAATCGACAAAAAGATGAATGAACGAGCTCAGACTATGAGCTTTTCATACAGCTGCGATGGCTTTTCAGCTGCAAGAGAAACCCACGTTTGTACAGGGGCGGGGTTTTGATGACTAATCCCCTTTTCGAAACTTAAGTAAAAAAAATAATAATTATTGGTAAAAAATATACTTTATTGAGCTACAGATTAATAAATCGCTTTGGAGGGAATAAAATTGCTTAGCTAGTTTTCAGAGATATGCCAAGAAAATCTATATACAGATTACAAAGGTGATTACAAAAACTGTTTAAGCAATCCGTTGTCGTTATCAGTTATTAAAAAAATACTTGATGTCAGAAAATTATTAAAAACGATTATTACTAGGTATAGTAAACTATTTAATCGGATGCAAGCGATTCTTCCGACATTGTCTTGGGAAATCAAATAATTAATATTTATTTTGTTTACTAAATATGTATTTATCACATTTTTGAGATACCCCCTTCGGAAAAAAAGCAACTTGCACCTCTGCAAGCACCAGTACTAGTCCATCTGGTTTGCCGGCTTTTGAAACCCAGCTGCAATAATAGAGAGCATAATTGAATTTATTTTTAGACACCCACTGCAACTGCATCTGCATCCGTTTGTAGTTTCCACATTCCACACCGATTTCCATATGCATTAACATGTTGCTCATACGCCCGAGTCACATTTCGAGGGCCTGTGGATGGGGGGGCTTGCCTTGGCGAATTTTTGGTAAACAACAGCATAAAATCATGCGTAATAAACTTACAGCTAGGCGTTGCTACGTGCCGAAAGTCTCGCAGTTCGCCGGGTTTCCAGGTTCCACTCCCTTTCCACCACCCATTTTCCAACCATGTGACAGTGTGCACAGAAAGAAAATGTGTATTTGATTTAAAATTATATTCTGCATAACTCAATAAAAATTATTATAGTAAAAAATAATTCTAAAAAAGTATAATAAAATTTTAAAAAATTCATTAAGGGCATAAAATATTTTAAGAAATTCCATTTATTTTGCGATCTTGTGTTATAGAAATTTTTGAATTTTTTTTGCGTGTAACATTATCCGCATATCAAATTGTTATAATTAATAAATAAAATATTTGATTTGATATTGGGCTGCTCATTTTTCAGTGTTAAGTGTGGATGGTATTGCAATAATATGATATGACGAGTGGATTCCATGTTGTTCTTATGGTTGTTTTCCTGCCATCTCGTTCGCACACCCTGCGGCCTTGCGGCCACCTTGTTTGTTTTCGTTATGCTGGAAAAAAACTCATTTAATAATAATAAATAAAGACGACTGACAAAAAGTGAGATTGATAAACAAAAGGCGCTGATCGATTCGCCTGGCAACCCGTTTTCCGTTTTAACGGGACAACGCTCCATAAAACAAAGCGATACAAATAAAGCAAAATCCGAAACTGCAGCTGGAGGTTTTATCTCTTTTCACATTGCGGAAGTCGGCGAGGGGTGTTACGAAAATATGACCCTCACACCCACAAGGCGGAAGTTTGAGGCAAACAGTCATTCGAAGAAACAATTAAAACAAACAAATAATGCATTTACATTCATGTACGGTGTATGCTTGAATATGAATACATTTAATACAAACTTTTTTAAATTGTTGGTGACTATAACTATGACTTTGATCGTAACTTTTTCTACCATTCTCGATTGTGGGTCAAATGTTGTTGGTTGATCTAAAGAATTGTGTTATGGGTAGAAATTTAAAACCCTTAAATTCTATTTACTAAACTAAATAGATCAGCAAATAATTTCGCAGCCAAGGAAATTACAATACTCCAATTCCTTTGCATTTCACAATGACATTTAAAAATAGTTTTCGACAGATGAAATAATAAATGTTTTTCTTAAAAATTTTACAATTTGATATTTTTCTTATCAGCAATGTTGATGCATATTGACATGGTTTAAATAATCAAGACTACTAGCATAGCAATATATAGTATTTCATATGCACACTAGAACATTTACTTTTCGAGAGGCATGGGAAGTGTCTAAATAAATAAATATTTTCCCAAAAGCCATGAAACATTGAAAGAAAATCAATCAAATTCAATGTCAAAGGGGTTTCCTGCTACTTGCTTGCAGTTGAAATTAACATGCGAACAGAGCTTGTTTATAAACAAATAGTACGTGGATGTAAAGCAAGTATGAGGCAGTTTTTTGCTGATAAGACCGCGTTACGAAACTGTTTCTAAGAAGAACAGCAGTTGGCCAGTAGCTGATAAGAGCGTGACACAAAGAAGCAAAACTGCCACCAAGTGATAAGCATGGCGCCGTAGATCGCGAAATTCTTTAACATGTGTATTTCGGTAGCCTAAACTAACCGCAAAGTGTAGAGTAGAAAATGACATTCAAATTGGCGCCCAAAGGTGGGTTATCGATTGGTTTTTCAGGGCTACCTAAGCAAAAACTGAAAGCGAATCGATAGGCAGGTAGGTTGCTGGTATTTTTTAGTGTCAAAATAGAGTTGGTTTTTCTGCGTCTTCTTCCACGGAAGCTGTTAATTAAATGAGTTAAATTAATTGGCCCAAGCAGTGGCTTTAATTAAAAAGGGTTCCCAGAAGGTAAAGACGCCCTGCTGTGATAAGATAACGTTCAAAGTGTGAAATTAGCAAGTGAAATGGGTGAAATTCCTGAGTTTCGCCTATTTTGGCAAGACCTGTTGTTGTTTTTGTGCTGCGCCAGTGATGCGCAGCTCGCCTTATTGGCTGGAAATCAACCGGATCTGGCTAGAAACCCGCCCTAGTGTTACCCCCGAAAGCCAGAAGACACAGATCAGATTGATCATTTCTATATGTTTTGCAGTGTTTCGCTCGCCGTGATCTGAAAAAGTCGTAGACCCAGGTGCAACAGGTGCCAATTGCAAGTGAAAGCCAGTTGAAAGCAACAGAAAAAGAAAAGAAAACCCCACAGAATGCCGCCCGTGCAGTAAGCAGAATGTTCCGCCCCACTTTCCCAACGTCCTTGGCTTACAAACGCCCACTTATTGCATCATTTGGCGGTCCAAAAATCATCGTTTCCCATTCGCCTAATTTCGCATTTCGCAAATCACTAGAAAAAGTAACTATTTGCGGCTAGCAATGTTAATCATTCATGCCCTCATCGCGTCTTAACCCTCTGCAAGCCATGCGGGCGTCTTGGACCCCTTTGGAATGCAATTTTCCTGCCAGATGTTTACTCCACCGATGACGTCATGGCCACATTCAAATTTATTTTTAAATGCCGCCACTCGAGTGCGCGTGTGTGTGTGTATTGTTTACCATTTGTTTGTCTGTGTCTGTCGGTTCCGACGATGATGAGTGGGCCGCTTTGTGTTGGCGGCAAGTCCAAATCCGAATCGAATTCGATGTTAGAGAATTTCTAACCCCCTTTTTGGGGGCCAAAGAATGTTCATTGATTAATCTAGTGACGGGGAGATAGGTCATACATTGTATCGTACGGTATACTATAACTGGTACTATTGTATACGTTAAATTTTGGTAATTTTGATCGTTAGTTCGATATAACTCAAGTTAATAACCTCTTTATTTCTTACATTTAAAATTTAGATTTTCGCTTATAAAAGTATACAAAAATGTTACTGAATGCAGATCACATTGTGATAGTCAATGGCAAAATTAAACCATTTTCAAAAATTGTCAAAAAGTTTAATATTTAATTTATTAATTATTTAAAAATCTACACGTGAGTCATAGAAACAAAAAAAAAATTTAATTTGTTGAATTTGTGTTACTTTTGGTAATTTGAAGATGCCTCATAATAACTATCAACATATCAAAAACAAAAATATAATGTTAGTTGCTTCTACTGGTTAATAAATAAATTCTTGGACTTTTTTATTAGCAATATATACAAATATATATATACAAATATTCACAAATTAGTTCTTGGCTGTCGTTTTAATTATAAGATATAAGATATAATATGTACTTCTAAATCGCAGAATATGAATCCGTCAAATTCCTTAACTGTATTCTACAAATCCCTGAACTCGAGCAGCTAGCACTATCTGGTAGATACGAATGCCCATATGTGGGTACATAAATATATGTGCAGTGCATTCTACCTGCTCAGAAATGATATCTTACCCATTACTGAAGTCACCACATCCGCACCGTTTAACGCTTCTTATCCAACTGCCATGCGACACTCGCTGTGACGAAAGCTACAGGTCCAAGGAATGCCAGAAAGCTTTTGGGCTGTGCATTGCTCGACTGAAATATGAATCAGCCAGCGTCAACAGAGCCGGCACAGCGATAAGTCTCATTGTTTTGTCCAGTTTCTCGCCTCACGCATTGCCCTTAGGTTGTGTTTCTTCGCGCTCAAGCTTTAACCATGATGTACTCCAAGGCTGAAGTGTAATAGCTTCTAATGTGTCACATTATCACCACCATCTAATCCCGATCTTGTCCTGAATTTGCAGAGTCCAGGCAGCAAACATGTCGCTCGGTGCGATGCATTGTACGCGATGTGCCGATGGATTCGAGCCCACCGAGAAGATTGTCAACTCCAATGGAGAATTGTGGCACACACAGTGCTTTGTGTAAGTAGAAGCAACATATATGTGCTATCCCATAAACTAAATTCAGCTCATTGTAGTTTTATCACTCGTATTTGACACAGAGTTTCTGAATAATCTTTGAAGGGCCCTTAAGTAATATTAGAATAAACATTATTTGCCTTTCAATTAGAAGAAATATATTTTCTCTAGCTCTTAAAACATCAACATCATATGTCCTATCCCATAAATTAAATTCAATTCATTGTAGTTTTATCACTCGTATTTGACACAGAGTTTCTGAATAATCTTGGAAGGGCCCTTAAAAGTATTTAAATTTTAAAGAAAGGCTATTAAGTAATATTAGAATAAACATTATTTGCCTTTTAATAAGAAAAAATAATTTTTCTCTAGTCTTTTAAAACATTAATATCAAAAAATCTACAAAATATTTTTGAATAATATAACATTTTTGACGAATGAAGTCAGAAAACGATAAGTATGCATCACCACAGCTCAAAAACATTTCATGATTAATTCCGGTTCACTTACATTTTTATCAGCTTTCTGAGTTATTAATAAAATGTTCTAAAATTTACGAAAGAGAACTTCCTTGAATAACACCCAAATACATTATTCATTTCGAAATTACTTTCCAGATGTGCCCAGTGCTTCCGACCGTTCCAGGATGGCATCTTCTACGAGTTCGAGGGCCGCAAGTACTGCGAACGTGACTTTCACGTGCTCTTCGCACCCTGTTGCAACAAGTGCGGCGAGTTTGTCATCGGGCGGGTCATCAAGGCCATGTCCGCCAGCTGGCATCCACAGTGCTTCCGCTGCCAATTGTGCGCCAAAGAGCTGGCCGACTGCGGGTTCATCAAGAACCAGAACCGCGCCCTGTGCCACGAGTGCAATGCCAAGGTGAAGGCGGAGATCACCGGCCGCTATGTATGCCAAAAATGCCAGTAAGTTGTGATACCTTTCAATGGAAACATTTGGTTAATTACTCTCCTTTTTAGTGGCCTTATTGACGAGGAGCCTTTGAGATTCCGTGGTGAAGTGTACCACGGCTATCACTTCAGTTGCACGGCCTGCGGCACCGAGCTGGATTCCACGGCTCGAGAGGTCAAGAGCCGACCGGGATTAGCTGCAAATGATATGGTAGATATTGGCCAAATAAAAACATGTATTATATAATTTATTTACATTCCTTAACAGAATGAACTGTATTGTTTGCGTTGCCATGATAAAATGGGCATTCCCATTTGTGGCGCCTGTCGCCGGCCAATTGAGGAGCGAGTGGTCACGGCGCTGGGGAAGCACTGGCATGTGGAGCATTTCGTGTGCGCCAAGTGCGAGAAACCCTTCCTGGGCCATCGGCACTACGAGAAGCGAGGATTGGCCTACTGCGAGACGCACTATCATCAGCTCTTTGGCAACCTGTGCTTCGTTTGCAACCAGGTCATTGGAGGCGATGGTGAGTAGATGAAATCGACTATGTTATGGGTGATTCTAACTAATTTGTTTTATTATACAAACAGTTTTCACTGCCCTGAACAAGGCCTGGTGTGTCCACCACTTTGCCTGCTCCGTGTGCGACACAAAGATGACACAGAAGTCCAAGTTCTACGAGTATGACGAGAAGCCGGTGTGCAAAAAGTGTTATGAGCGATTCCCTAACGAACTGCGACGACGACTGCGCACCGCCCACGAGATGACAATGAAAAAGAACGTCTAAATGTCTGGAACCAAGCCTTGAGTCCACACCAAACAGTGCCTTCGTTGTTTTAGACCCGCTATCTCTACCATTTTTAACATTCGAGAAACTAAAACGAAACCAACTAAAACCTTTTGTGCATGTCTTTTCAATCTGTTGTAACCCTGTTGTGTGTAATTTCTATTGTAAAAATCGTGTATCAACGGCAGCTATAGCTAGGGAGCAAAATAATTGTGTATTAACAGCTTTTAACGTTGTTATTTAATGGAATTTTATTTATACATAAATGTTTTAAAAATGATGAAACAAAATGTTTAGTCTGGTCGGAAATGTGGAATAGCTTTCTTACATACAAGTTTAACATGTGGCGCTCTTAAAGAGAAAGAATTCTTCCCAGCTTTAATTATTGTATATTGTGAAAGCATTAAATGCGGTTCAATTCCGATTACAAGCTCATCAGTTTCTGAATCAGGGATCGCGACTTAATAATGGCGATATTGTTCAGATAGTTGACGCTGTCAACATGTACAAGTTTGTGGACCTTCAGGGCGTCCGATAAAAAGGCAATCTGTGCAGCATTTGGTTTGTGTGGAAACTCTGTAAATTTAATATTTAAATATTGTAAGTAAATGTTTATTAGGATTATTTCAATACGAACCATCAATCACACAAAGATTTGTGGTACAAGGACTGGTGAAGTCCAAAGGATACCGGCGAATATCCATTATAGTTATGTCCTCCACATTGGTGTAATCCACGTACATCACTCGGTACATAGTTTGCTGATGCGGATTATTAATGATCTGCTCCACTCGGCCACGATACCACGAACCCTCAAAACGGGCGAGCACATATTCCTTAACTCTGTCGAAAGGAAATTTAAATTATTAAAGTATATTAGGACAAATCAATTAGTCTTAAATAATTACACTGGCTTATAAGGTTCCGAATCAGTTATTTCCGACAAACGACTGTGCAAGGTGGAAAATTCAGTGGCGTAGGTGCTGTCGAATGCGCCAAAAATACCGCGATCCTTTTTCGAACTGTCCACAACAAATACATTAATGCCTTCCTTATTGTCAATGGAGAAACGGCGTAACTCAAAAGGCTAATTATTAATTAGTTTTGGTTTTGATTTTAAATTAGTTTAATATACTCACAGGATTTAGCAAAGGTTCATACTTGGCCATTCCAATCCCATTTGTTTGGGAATTTGTCTTAGCGATAGGTAGTGAATCCAATTTTTCTTTGAGTTTTGGTAATTCCAATGGAACTAAAGGATCACTTTTCGTATTTGGACATGGATTAAGTGTCGAAGGTTTCATACCTTTTAAGGAAATATCTTTAACTTCTTCATCTTTGGATTTTGATAAAGGTTCAGGAGTATTTTTGATCACGTTATCAGCGGCTGTTTGTTTTTCATATGGAACTGGAATTGTTTTTAAGGGTAAGCATTGCGTTAAAAATTGTTTTACTTCTTCATCTGTAGGTTTTGATAAAGTTTCGGTTGCAGATTTAATCTCCTGATCAGCGGTTGTTGGTTTTTCAACTTTGGATGCCTCTTCATCTACTAAAGCAATTTCAAGTCCGTTAGTTTCATCTTTTGTTGCGGCTTCTAGGAAATCTTTGGAAATGCTATCTTTAGTTTTTGGTTCAGTGTTTTTTGATTCCAGATCTACAGGTTTTAATGGCTCGGCAGCAGGCGTATCTTTTGTATCCTTAATGTTTGCGTGGGATCGAAGAAATTCACTGAATATTTCTCTTGGATTCATTTTCGTAATATCCTGCTCACTCATCCCCATGTTATTAGCATAGGAGCGGAAGAATTGTCCGAAAATATCACTTTGATCATCTTTCTTAAAGGTCTCCTCGGCAGTTGCAACGACAGCTCCTTGAATTTGATCGTTCTTTCCGGTTACTTCAGCCTGAATCTTGTTTAATCCTGACTCTACTTTTGCTGGATCATTATTAGTGATTTCAGCATTACCTTTAAGTGATTCTTGTCCAGTCGTAGGACTTTTCTGATTTGTTTTCTCTTTATTTTTGTCTGGGAAAGACAAATCATCTCCAGGGTTCATGACTTCAGCCTCTAGCTTTTTTATTAATTCCTGGGCCACTATTTCTGGTGTTTGAGACTCAGCCTGAGAATTTTTGACTACAGGATTTGCTATAATCTGATTATTTTTGGTAGATTGCTGACCAATTGGGGGATTTCGCACAATAGGTGTAACGTTTTTTTGGTTTTCAGAAACCTCTTTTTTGGCAAAGAATTCACGTATTTTAGCATTCACCGAAATCTTTGTCTTCGTGTGCAATAGTTCTACTTGGACGCATCCAGGAGTTTTTTCACGGATTGCCGAGTAAATCTCGCCCGCGAATTGCGAGGTGAATGCAAAGACCTCGTCGCCAACCGCATAGTTGGGAACATCCTTGAGTTGAACCAGAAGACTGTAGCAGGGCAGTGAAAACAACTCCTCATTGATCTCCCGCAATTCCGAAATGGTTCTTGACTTTACGACTCCTTGATCCAGAAGAAATAGACGGGCGGAATGATTACCAAAGACGTTAATCACCTTGGCCCGGTGGAACGTCCCGTTATGAAGAGCCAGGCAAAATCCAAAAGGACGTGGTTTTACCATTCGGGGCATCTCATTTCCCATGGTATTAACCTGTGGAGATACAAAGGAATTTTAATCGAAATTCTCGGCAGAGGGTATGTTCAATACGAATAAATCTCAAACGAAAAGAAGCAAATTACAAATTATGTTAGTTATATTTAAAAAATAAGTTTAAAAATATATTTTAAACAAAAGTTTAGACTAATTTTAGGTGCATTATTTTTTTCGAAAGTTTTTAGGAAGAGCATTTTAGCTATAGTCTGCTTATTTATTTTTAAAACTTACAAAACATCACGTATTTTGATTTTATTTTTGTTAGTAAGAATTTACTTAGGAAATTTAGCTGTGTTGAAATTCGACCATATACAAACCTTCTCGCACACTTGGGCAAATGCCCTGGCAGCTGATTCGCTGGCATCGCGAATAAAGCAACGATTCGCGGATTTAAATCCCATGATGTATACCAGACTATTGCTGGGAGGCATGATCGTATTTGGTGGGGTAACTAGTTTGTTTTTTGGTTTGTAGCCGCTGTTATTGGGGATGATAGGGGTGGATGGAGAGGGAAGAATCGGAACTTTGTTTATGGGTGCAATATTGCCGGTATTGCAAATCTTATTGCGGTCCAGATCCGGAAGGAGGCTCGAAATGGGGGCAGGAGATGACTCAACCCAGGTTTTATCAGGGTTAAGCGAACATGCCCCCTCCAAAGACAATTCATCGGTGCTCTGGTAGACCGAAAAAGACTTGGGATAAACCAAAGCGGGCAGCGGGAAGCAGATGTAGCGATGACGTGGCCAATCCTTGAGCTGACAGTCCTTGGAGCAGTAGAAATCCCCGCAGCGCTGGCAGATCCTTTCCGCTGCGACTGCGCAGAGGACGCAATTTCCTTTTCCATTCGCTATCTGCAATATTTCGATTTTTCGGGGCTCAGTACGGGGTTTCTTACGGTCTTTTCCTGATTTGTTTCTAACCTGGACATCGGCGACTGCCTTTTTGGGTGGCATTTTTCCTGCTTAATTTCCGATTAACTCACGAAAAGGACGAGTTTTTCAACGTCAAAGCTCCAGCAACAAAATGTAAGACCCCAAAGTGTTACCAACTGGTAAAATGGGGATTTCCCCAAAAGAACTTTAGACCCTTCCAGAAGTTGAACGGTATTTAAAGGAAAAGCTACATTCCCACTGAACTACATTTTGGCGCCACATTTAAATATAAATTGGTGTACATTAAATGCTGGGAGAAGTATAAAAAAGATTTTACTTTTGAGGTTGGCATACATTTTATTTTGTTTGATTTTATATTTGTAATCATCTGAATGTCCTTATCTCTACAAACAATTTCCATTTCATAATAAAAACAAACTGGAAATTGTTGCTCAGTGTAATTCAGCTGTTTTTGGATTATCGTTGTAAACTTATCGATAACTCTGTGGTTCCAGCTGATATTGCAGTTCAAATTTTTAAAAATTATTATTAAAATGTCGTTGCAATTGGGTGAATTTATTTGCCGAGTCTGCCTCCAGCAGGACGAACTCCTGGTGGACATTTTCGAAACCGTGGAGGAGCTGCAGGTGGATCTGTGCAGCTTGCTGGAAACTTGTGGCGACATCAAAGTCAGTTTTACACCTCTTTTGTGATGTACTCTAACTATATTACTTATTTATCCCTGCCAGGTGGACCGCAACGATATGAATCCAAAGTATTTGTGCCAGGAGTGCACCAACGAGCTGCTCATCGCGGCCAAGTTTCGCAGGAAGTGCGCGGAGGCGGAGAAAAAGCTGAGGGATGAGACTACCAGGATGGAGATAGCAGAACCGCTAGCGAAAGAGGAAATTATAATTTTCGATCCGACTGACTACATTGCGGAGACTTCCTCCGCTGGAGAGGATGAGGCGAAGGAACCCACTGAAGTTTCAGGCTCCAGCTGCCAGTATTGTGGAGCGGTTTTCCAGCAACGAGCAGCTCTACGTCGGCATATCGAAAGAGTACATGCCTCCATTACCATTTACGATTGCGAAAAGTGTGGAGGATTCTATACGGAACTCGGTAAATTCCAGAGCCACAAGTGCTCCAGTTTGGAGTCCCAGAAGGGCGGCCACCGGTGCATGGAGTGCGGCAAGTGCCTGCAATCCGCCTCCGGTCTCGCGGTCCACATGCGCCTGCACAGCGATGAGAGGCCCTTCACCTGCCTTCTGTGTTCCAAGGCATTCAGAACGAATGGAGCACTGGTGGCCCATCAGCGGCGCCACCAGCAGCTGTTGCAGCACCAGTGCCCGCACTGCGAACGCGGCTTTGTGGAGTCCAGCAACCTGCGTCGCCACATAGTCGCCCGGCACACGGATGAGCGGCCGCATCCCTGCACCATCTGTCAGCGCAGCTTCTCCAGGGTCTACCTGCTGCAGCTGCACCTTCGGACGCACACCGGCGAACGACCCTACGCCTGCGAGCATTGCGACAAGAGGTTCGCCCAGCTGGGAGTCCTGAGGAGCCACGAACGAATCCACACCGGCGAACGGCTGCATCGCTGCCAAGTGTGCGAGAAGACCTTCACACGGGCGGGGCAGCTGCGAAAGCACGAGATGCGTCATGAAACCGGATCGTGATAAGCCCAACCGACGATTTTGGCCAGTGCACCCGGTATCACGGTCAAGGTAAGCGCTATCAGTAGCCTTATCAGTGGCTTCGAACTTATCTTTCATGCCAAGGTGGTGATTTCAGCCCAAAACCGTTTGGGTTCTCGAACAGAAAAGATGTGCAGACGTGGAGTGGTGGTGGGAATAATTTTAGTGGTGCTCCTCGCAGAAGGCAGCCTGTCATCGGATCGTCAAACTCGCGGGGTACATGTTAAGTTACCAAGGTAAGTAAATATCTATGTATATATTTATACCCGTTAGAAGGGTATATTGAATTCGTGCAAAAGTATGTAACAGGGAGAAGGAAGCATTTCCAACCCTATAAAGTATATATATTCTTGAATAGGATCACTAGCCGAGTCGATATAGCCGTGTCTGTCTGTCCTTCTGTTTGTCTGTCCGTATGAACGCTGAGATCTCGGAAACTACAAAAGCTAGAAGGTTGGGATTTCCCACACATATCCTTGGGCTTCCTATGCAGCGCAAGTTAATTTCAGCCGGGCGCCACGCTCACAATCGCCCACTAACGATTTTTAAATGTGTCTGGCGCCCACACCTTTAAAGATTTCCGAGAAGTATTAATGCAATTTTGTTGTTTATATTTATACATACAGAAATGTAGAAGACATTTTTCAAATCGGACCATTCATTAAAAAGTTATGCGCAATTTTATTTATTATTTTACACTTATTGTCTTTTAGCAGTGCTGGTTCCGCTGCGGTGTCCGGTGCAGTGCGCAATTTGAAGGAGAAAATTGAGGAGCAGACAAAGGTTCTGAATCGCCTGGCCAATGCCACGGAGAAGCTAGCAGAAAAGTCGGGAGTCTTCCTGCGCAATTGTGCATTGACCGACAAGCATGGGTATACCCGCATCCAACTGGAGGAGGGCAGCAAGCCGTTCGACGTCTTTTGCGAACAGGACATTGCCGAGGGCGGCTGGACGTTGGTGCTGCAGCGATTCAATGGCACTCATCGCTCCGCGCAGGAATTCCGCGAGGGTTACAACAGCATTGCGGCGGGCGAGTACTTCCTGGGCACCGAGAAGCTGTACGCGTTGACTCACTCCCGCGACCACGAGCTGCTCTTCGTTATGGAGTTTGTGGACATGACGACTCGTACATACCGGGCAGAGCGGTTCGTTTTGCAGAGCACTACCGCTCATCTCACTTGGGAACGGGAGCAGGACACCGCTCGTTACAGTTGGTCCTTGTGGGAGCAGGAAATAGCTCGCTTGCCAGCGGGAAAATCTTGGGAGTGGGAGGCATCCCAGAGCTGCTCTTCAGTTTTGTGCGGCCCAGAGCGTTTGTGAGTTAAACTCGTTTACCTACCGTTTTTTAAATAACTACCTTTATCTCCTTTCTCAGCATTGTTTTTCTGCTCAAGTGGAATTTCGGTCTGCAGAACTATAGTCCGATAATGGGACGTCCAGCTATTCGACTTTTTAAGGTGTTCCTGCGCCCATCCAATGCCTACTGGACTGTTCGAAACCCATAAGATATGTGGAATGATCTTTATATATATCCCTATCTGGTCCGAAATAGATTTGCACACTAATTTTTGACATCTTGTTGAAAATAAACTTAAATCTCTTGTTTTGACTAAAAAGTGTTTCCAAATATTCCATCTAAAATAAGAAATGATTACAAAATTTGCTTAGTTTGTTTTTTTTTTTAATTCTTTATTGCATGCAGGTAAGAGTTAGTAATGTTTCTTCTTGTAATTGGTTTACATTTGCTTTGATTTGCAATTATCCTAAAAGTTACAACAAGTGACGCAGTTATATGCTATATATCCGAATATTGTATAGATGTATATCGGGATTGTATGGTATATTCTTTGATGACATTAAATTATAATTGAAGAGACAAACTTGTACTCGTTAATAACTAGGTTGAGAGCACGACTTGCCGTTTGATTTTCATTTTCATTTCCATATCATCTTCGATCCTATTTGTACAGTAATGTATATGTATATTTATATATGCTTGTATATATAAATATGGTTAGTCATCTTTTGATTTGATTTTCATGCATTTTCGAGTAATGTACTTGGCTTAATTTAATTACGGGTAAATTACGAAATTAGTTAAGATCTTTTCGGTTCTTCGGGTGCTATTCCTCGTATGGCTCAATTCTCTTTGGGTTCTCGTATCTTCGGGTCGTATCTTTGTCTTCCATTATGGCGGCGGGATAAGCTGCACTCGTTCCACATCTACATCGGATTCGGTTTGAGGGGGTCTGGTTCATAATCAAAGGTCAGGGTCGGGTTTTTTGGTTTTTTTGGGGTCACTTAGTCTACAAAAGCGTCGCCTCTGGGTAAACGGAAATACGAAAGAAATCGATTTAATACTAGGTGGTGGACCAGGGTTCAAGTTCAAACAACGGGTCAACAGGTGAGAAAACGGGTGCATAACGGGGTGCCCATAGATCCTTCCTATAGCGCCGATCCCTGTTCAATCTTTCGCTGATACTTACGCGCCTGCACGCTCAAATCATCGAGTAGCAGTTCGCTGGAGGACTTGGATCGCTTGGGGAAGATGAGCGCCTTGCGGAGCGGCGTCACATGGGCAATGGCCACCTGGGAGCGGGATTGCGGCTTGGGCGGCGGCCTGGGCGCCCGCTTCTGCTTGTGCGAGGGCTTCCGCAGCTGCTGCACAAAGGACTTGCTGACGGTGGAGCCCCGGTTGAAGTCCTCCGTCCGGTTGAGCGCCCCTTCGCCAGGATATTTCTGCAGCGCCTTGCCATCCTGCGACTTTAGGCGCTCGAAGAGATTGGTGAGTGTGCGGGAGCGGGGTGGCGAGGGGGCGGGATATTTGTTCAGGTTCAACTGGGGCGTGCTGTGCTTGGGCGTCCGCCCCGCTCCCACCGTGGTGGGCGTGGTCGAGGCAGTTTGCGCCCGACTGGCGAACACCTCGTCATCCAGTTCGCTGAGGCTCACGAGCATGTGCTCATCCTCGAAGAGATCATCGGTATTGGTCTGCGTTTGGGTGCCCTTTTCGTCCTCGTTCTCCTCGTCATCGTAGCAGGAGAAAATCTCATCGAAGGCGGCATTAACTATGAAGGACTCGTCCTGCAGCTCCTTGTTGTCCTCCAGGCTGGCATGTCGCCCCAAAGTGCCGAAGAGGTTCTTGCGATAGTCCTCGAAGGTGGACTGCTGCAGTTGCTCCCGCGAGCGATCCACCCGCTGCACCGCCGGCCAAAAGCTGGAGGCCAGCGTTTGGGTGCTGCAGCTGTTCGTGAGGACGCCCTCGTGCAGGGATTGCTGCTTCAGCGGCTGCGACTGTGTTCGTGAGCGTGCTGGTTGCTGGTGTTGCTGCTGCAAGTGCTGCTGCTGCTGCAAGCGCTGGCGGTGCAGTTGCTGCACCAGCCGCTGGCGCATCTCCTGCGAGCGGCGCTTCAGCTGGCTGTACTTGCTCTGGGTGGTGCCGGTGGTGGTGGTGGTGTTGTTGTTGGCGGTGCTGCTGGACTCATACTTACTCAGCTCCCGGTCCGGATGGCTGCGCTCCTCCTCCTCCGCCAGGCGACGCTGCAGTGCCAGCGTTTCGAACGTGTGCACCACACTGCCCACGTGAGTACTGATCTCGGGAATACCCAGATCCCCGCTAAACAAATCGGCGTTGCGGCGGGTCAGCGACTTGGTGGCATGACCATGGCCGGGGGCGTGGCAGTGGCGCAGGGGCGGCACCGGACACTGCGAATCGGGGGGATATTGCTCGAGGAACTCGCAGGAGTCCTGCTGCCACAGCAGGTTGCCCAGTTCGTCGTGACCGCTGCTTCTGGCCTGGGAACTCGACTGGAGGTGTGGTTGTTGTTGTAAGCAGTGTAGTGTGTCGATGTTGTTGTGTGGTTTGTTGTTGTTGTTGTTGGCAGATATTTCAAGCAATTCGTTAATGAAACAAATAAACAAAATCTGATTAGCCGAGTTTCGGGGGTCTGCTTTTTGGGTGCTAAGTTTTGGTGGCTGGTGAGCTTTTCGGGGGTTTTCTTTATGTGGAAATCTAGGGGGTCAAAGGTCAGGGTTCGGGGTTCAGGGTTCAAAGGGGAGTGGTGGGCCTGGCTTAGGTCTACAATAGAAGTAACTAGTTTCATACGCTTATCCATTCTATGTACACAATTAACAATAAGCTGCATTTGCCATTTCAATGGCCTCTCAATTGCGTTTTGACATTGGCTACGAACTAAATTAGTTTATAGACTAGGTAAATATTCAATTCATTTAGGGGCTATCCATTCGACAAAACAACAAGCTGCCCAAACAGTTGGCACTCAAAACACTTATCTCCTTTCCTGTATGCGGCAGCTGTAAAAATGCCAGGAATCGTCTCCCGACAGCCGCAAAATCAAATTTGCATTGCAATCAGGAATGCATCCTGCAGCTCAAAATTCTGTTTGCAAATTCTCTCAATCAAATGAAAACTTTCAACCATTTGGCGAACACAAATGTGTGAGTGTGTCAATGTGTGCGTTCCTCAAATCCAGGTATTTAATGGGTGTCCCAAAAATGCAGCATCATTATAACGCACAACAAATGGGTATTTTTTAATATATGTGTTCGGAGATGGGAGGTTATAATAATAAGGCAAATTGGTTAATTTGGTGAACTTCAATCATTTGACATATTAAATAAAATATATGTTTTAAATAACACAAGGTAACAAAATACCTTTCAGAAATACCAGATTGCATATGAATTTTAACGAATTTTTCTTTGTGTGGGTTGGATTTCCATCGGGACTTTGTCTACCGCCACTGCTTAATTAAGTCAGTAAATGTGTCCTTTTACCAATTAACAGAAATAATTATTTCAATTATAATTGAATACGTGTTTCCTATTAAACCTGATCGTATTACACTTATTATGAACAAAAATCTAGAATGAAATGTGCTTTACCATTAAATTTCGTTTACAAGTTTGAGGATTAGAAAATATAAGTCTAGAATGTAGAGGTTTTAAACCACTTGAAATGGTTATCCATTACCCATGTATTTTTGTCCCCAGATTTTCGAAAATGAAATTTTAAAAAGATAACAGCTTTTTAAGTGATTTAAAAACATATAGGAATTTCAAATATATGAACATAACTCAAAAATGGGTTCTTTAGTCCCACTTTTAAGGACTAAGTTTCTGTATATACCAAATACCTTTAAATTAAATATACCGACAACTTTTTGGGACACCCTTATGCCTCTGTGTTAGTGCGTGTGTGTGCCTGAGTGTGCTGGTGTTTAATAATAGTTATTATCAAATGGTAGGCTATCACTGGAGCTGGAGTAGTGCTGCTGCTGTTGCTGCGGTGGCAGTGGCAACACTTGATTGCTGCAGCCATTGCGCTTGGCCGACTTGCTGTTGCCGCTGCACTTTTGCTGCGGCTGCTGTTGCTGCTGCTGTTGTTGCTTGTGCAGGACCTTGAAATCGTCCTGCGACTTGCTGCTGCTGCCCTTCGAGCCGTGCTTGCCGCCCTTGTGCCCCTTGCCGTGCTTGGTGTGCTTCAGGCTGTGGTGTTGCTGCTGCTGCAGCTGGTGTTGCTGGTGCACCTGCTGCTGCTGCACATGCGGGTGGCTGTAGCGATCGCTGCCGTGCTGCGGATGGTAGTGGTGCTCGATGTGGGCAATGTTGCTGCTGCTGTGGTAGTGCTGGTGCTGCCCGTGTTGCTGGTTGTGGTTGCTGTTGTCGCTGGCCGTGCCGCTGCTGCCGTAGCTGTAGATCTGCGACTTGGACTGGCTGCGCAGCGGCTGTTGCTGCATCGTGGCCACACTGTAGTGGTCCAGACTGTCGAAGGTCTGCAGATAGTGCGGATTGATCTGGGTGCAGTAGTCGCCGTTGTTCGGTTGCTTGCGATCGAGTGTGTTGCGTGTGTTGCTGCCGGTATGTTGCTGGTAGGTCAGATGCTGGTAGTGCGACTCCTGTTGCTGCTGCTGCTGCTGCTTGGCCCCGTTTTTCATGGGCAACGGTGGCGGCTGAGGCTGCGGGGACTTTCGGTGGCCGCTCGACTTGAAGCTATTGTTGCCGCTCTGCAGGGTCAGGCTGTTGTTGCTGTTGCTGTTGTTGCTGTTGCTGTGGTTGCTGCTGCTGCAGTCGGACTTCGTCTTGATGGCCACAAACGAATTGGGCAGTGGCGGCAGCATGGGCGGCGTGCCGGTGGGCGTGGCTATCGTGGTCGAGGGCGAGCTGGCCCCGCCCACTTCCCGTTCCCGTTCGCGCTACGCGATGTGATGACCGCCAAATGTTCGAAGGACCGGAACGCTCTGATTTTTGTGGTGTTTTTTATCGGGGGGTTGTTGTTGTTGGTGGTGTTGTGGTTGGCAAGTGGGTGGTGTTTTTGTTGGTGGGTGGTTTGGTGGTGGTGGTTCACATTACATTTGTGGTGTGCGTGTGTTGGTTAAATGCGCATTTTGGTTGGTTGGTTGGTTGTTGTTATCGGAAAATGAAATGTCAGAGCGTAAAAAGAGACGAAAAAGGAAAAGAGTAGACACTTATCATATAAGTTGTGTATGATATAAGTATTTAAATATTTTTGCTTAAGAAGAGTATACGTAGGTGTCGTGGTGTGAGTGTTGGTGTTCGGTATTTTTTCGTTTTTTTGGGGGAAATGGGGAAGTGCGTCCGTTGGCATTTGTCTTTACTGTGATTTTGTATCTGGTCTATATAACCCGATTGACGGTTCAGTTGGTAATTCAAATATATTTATATACATATAGCTAAGCTCGACTCAGGTACAAGTGCTATTAGTGGTATAGTGGCATAGAAATGGAAATAAAAAATAAAATAAAATTCAAGCATGTATTTACACAGACTAGGTGCTCTATCGCATCCCACAGATCTTGGCCAGCGCCCTGTGAGCTTCAAGACAATAATTATGCAAAACGTTCCACTTACATTTCGAATAGCTGCAGGTGCTTTTCTGGGGGGGTTTTTCATGCAAGGTGCAAGGATGCAAGGATGCAGTTTCAGGCAGGGGAAAATGGCTAATTGTCGAGCGAAACTTATTAAATTTAGCTGCAAGTTAAGCGAAGGCACACCCACACAGATACACAGACACATACACTCACATGCATATAACGCTAATTAACCAGGCTAATTTGCAAAAAAGCGAGCGCCAAGTTTGCATTAAGTTAAGTTAAACGAAGTTGTCGCTTTTAAGGACTTTTCGCGACTTCTGTTTGAGGCTGGCGCGGTAGGTAATTTTTACATTAAATTAAAAAAGTTTCCGCCCCCTTTGGCGGCAGTAAGCGCAACTGTTTTTCCAGCAGAAGCAGCTTTCCTCTGTCTGAGAAGCACTGTAAATGCACTTTATGCATAGTCAATAACGCACTCACGCACACACACACATGAAAGAAGCAGGGGTCAGGGGTCAGGAGCTGAAGAAAACTTTCAGTCGCTCACTCAATGCACTCTCAAAGACACTACAGGGTGCACTTGTCGAGCAACTTGGCTCAACGGAAAAGTTGACAGGCATTGACATAATTTTACGCGCAATGACGACTTGAAGGAGCCGCAGGATGTGTCTGCATGTCGTTTTCCCCCGAGTGTTTGAGTGCTCGAGTGCCACACCCACAACTACCAGCATTTCCTTTCTGCCACTGCATTTTCTGCATCATTTAGTTACTGCTCGCTACATTCGCAAATTGATGGAAATTTAATAGACCTGCCACATAATTGTGGCTAATGATGGATGACTGCGAATCGAAGACCATCTGCTGCTGCCCGGAAAAGTCCACAAAATAAAAAGCCAGGGGGTCGGCGGAGCAGCGGCGGTAGCAACATCATCAACAGCAGCCGGAAATGGGAAAATGGGAACGGGAAAGTGGGGGGATGGGGAATGGGTGCGCTCGGCGGAAGTTCAACTCAGTGCCACAAAAATTTGAAAACTTTGTAAACAAAACTTTGAACTCGGCACTTTTGCTGCTGGCGCGAAACGAAACGAAAAACATCAGGCGACGATCCGCAGGACCTTTAGGATAAAAATGGCTAAGCACCCGCCCCCGTCCTCCGTTCGCCATTCTCCATTCCCCCGGTTGTCAACTGCACAAAGTTTTCCACACGGCAAATGGTAACTGAACTTGCTCGAAACTTGGATGAGGACGAGGACAGGCACTGGAGTTCAACTGGAATCCACTCTGCATACAACAACAAAGGCGTTCATCAATTGTCCAGCGGATGTTGAGTTCAGCCAGAGCGGGATGGTTGTGGAGTTGGAGCTGGGGTTTTCAGGGCGGGTGGTGAGGTGAAAGGATGGGCACCCGAGATTCAGATAGAGAGTGAGCAGTGACAGCGACGGCGACGACGACAGTTGCAGCCAGGCTTCCGCTAAGCTAGGCTACATCCGCCCCACCAACCCTCCCATTCGCTCATTTACACTCAGAAAAAAAATCAACTTGAATTTAAATCTTCTAAAATCCCACTACTTTTGTTGGCAAAATATCTATCCAAGGTACCAGTAAATAAAAGAAAGAAAGCTAAATATCATAATTTTAAAACGCAAATAATAAAAAAAAACTTTAAAAAAAGTTTTGTAGGTTTGTATACTTTTTTTGTAAAAGTTTGGTCAACAAAAATCATTACATTTGTATACATTTTCTGGTGATATAAATTTAACAGTCATCTACAATTTTGCATTAAAATTATGCCCTCTGCAAAATATATTCTGGTTACAATAATATGGTTGTATTTTTAAAATTACTCTTAAATAAAAAACAATTTATTAAATATTTTTTTGAAAAAGTAATTAATTTGAGTAATGATAAAATCACAATGATAATTTTAAATTATGCAATATAAAAAAAAATATATATCGACCTCAAGCTTTTCTCGCAGTGCACCCACACTCACACACCGATCAAAGCTAACTGCACTTCAAAAATGGCTTCTATCTGCCATACACAACACTACAAAGTACAGATGCCGAAGGAAAAATAAATTTAAAAGAATATTCTTTTGTAAATATTACTTTGTGCTGCTGTTGGAGAAGTGGAAGATGGCCCTGCTCGTTCTGCATTTCATTTGAAGAAAATGATACAAGTTTTCCCCGCAGCTGCTGCTGTCCACCGCCCACTTTCCTCCCTCATTCCACCCATTTCGGCCCCTTCCACCCACACGCATGCCCCTGTTGTTGCTGTGCCTTGTGCTCGGTTGTAATAACTATCTCGGCGAGTGTTTGAAATGCGTTTACCGAAAACTTTTACGGCTCTGCCGCTGCGAAGTGCAAGAATGTTTACGGCTTTCTTTCTTTTCTTTTCGAATCTGCGTGGTGGGTGGCGGGCTGTCACTTTCTTATTTCAGATTTAAATAAAACTGCTCGTTGCTCTAGTGCATAAAAGATTCCCAAAATATTGTGCAACCCATGGAATAAGAATGCAAATATTTTTGGTGGAACTGTAAGCACAGTGAAATGACGCTCTAAAGGTATGCAAGCTCCATTAACTTTTATAAAAGTATTTCAGTATGAAAACCATTGTATTTTAGTTTCAATAACTAATTTTGCAATAAAAGCTTTGTTCAAACTTTTCAAATAAAGTATATTAAAGGGAAACTAAAAACGTAAACCGAAAAAAAACCTTTGTTTAATTAAGCACATTGAATTTAAAACTATGAGCACTTTATTTTGAAGATATACAGCCATTTTGTTGTGCTGCATAAGGGCATCCCCAAAAAGTATGCAACGCTTAATGCGCTGCCGAAAATATTCCGCATACGCCCCGTTGTAAATACGCAGTAATGGCCCATAAAAGATAGCATATTGAAGTAGTAATTGTCGAGACCCAAATCACGCCATAAATTACCGAAATGTATGTCCGAAAAATATTCACAGCGAGTGCGAGCTCCGTTTAATTAAATGATTAACACAGATATTTACAGCACGAGACAGGCGAAAAAAAGGGGGGGATTCGCACCTGCGAGGACTTCCGCTTTCGCGTCGCACACGAACACGGGTCAACAGGAAATACAAGTTGCGGCCGTGTCGCTTTCATCGCCGCCCCATCATCCGTCCTTTGACCAGGTATTCCCCCCTATATATCCCCCATACATATACGTATATATACACGGGTATCCCAGTGTCCTGGGCAACGGTCAATTGCTTTGCTTAAACAGTCGACAGTCGGCGGTTGGCCGGCGTTTGTTTTGTTTGCTGATTGCGCAAATATTTGCGCAGGCATTAAACGCAGAATTGATGGCCAAACGGGACGGTACTGCCACTGCCGTGACCAGAGAATACGGCCGCAATATAAATTTAAATATTAACGCCCCGACTTAACGTCGATGAGTCGCCATAGCCTGAGCCCGAGCCTTCGGAGTCGCCTGTCTGTAGGTATTTTTGTTTCAGCCTCCGTTTCAGCCTGACTTCTTGACCAAAGTGAAAGGCAAACGTTTGCCTTAATGTTAACAGCCTCGTTACTTTTTATTGCACGCACCGCGCCAAGTTAGAGGTCGAGGGAAAGCCAAAATTTTCTGTGTGGTCATTACCGCAAAGGGAAACAGAACAGAACGAAACCGAAAAAAAGGTACCAAAATTGTGATTATGAACACAAATTTGCGCTTAAATTGCGGGCGTTTCCTCTCGCTTCTGTTGGTTAAGGTTTTTTTATTAAAAACCGCCAAGTCATTAAATTTTATTACAAGTTTAATTTTTCAATAAGGCCGCATAAACATGGGCAAGCGGGAAATCCAAACACGGCATTTTTGCAGGTTTAAGTGAGTTTCAAAAGGGATGGAATAGCCTGACCAGTTACCGGAAATGAGTTCATCACTTGCACTAGTTTATTATTATACTCAATGCAGTTTGTTTTAAAGACTGCCATAAATTGTCCTGAATGTTCAATTGAAAAAGGTTCAAGAAACTGTTTATTTTAAAGATCCCCATAAATTAAGTCTTCCACAAATATCAAAAAAGTTGTAGCATCTTAACAAGAGTGTATTTTATTAAACGAATTTCTGTTTTAAACAGTTTGGAATATAAATTTAAAAATGAAATGAAATAAAAATATTTTTGTTGATTTAATAATTCTTTAAAAATATTTATTTATTTTTTTTATATATATTTTTATTTGTTAGGCCATAATTTTAAAACCACAAGCACTTTAATCATTATGAAACTAATTCCATGTCAGTGTTATGTTGTCAAAATTTAAGGCCAACGTTAATAACTTAATTCCGCGCTGTTGCATTAGCAGTTGCGTCAAAAAGTGACTTTATTAAGCGCAGGTTAAGCACACGGGGCTTCCACGCACAGGTGTGCAGATGCGATGAT